TATATCATGAAAATAAATGTATGATCTGGTGACTCAATGATTTCTGTCCATATGGCATTTACAGAGAAGTAAAGAAAAGGCAAAAACCTACACATATGTATGGATAAAAATATCCAATATAAAATTCACTGTAGTGACAGCACTAGAAAGCTTTCAGCTGAGATTACCTGGAAATAAATAACACGCAGAAGAGGAAGTGAGATTACAACAGTCTCACTCTTATATGTCTTTAGAGTTAGTGAGCACAGTGTGGATCATACATGTTTTTATAAAAATCACTTTAAGGATGGAGATATTCTACTTGCTGGTGATAGGTCCAGGTTTATAGATGGGCGTGTAGTGCAGCTGCATGCAGAGTGATGCAAAAGTGCAATTAAGAAAAAAAGAAATCTTTGGAAATAAATGTGACTATCTGTGAAATGATTAAAATGAATACTGACTCCAAGCCTATTTCTGTATTTGCTAAAAGCCATATGTAAAAGTGTCTTTGTGTAAGTGCTAAGCACATTAAAAACACAGAGAATCAGTTAAGCCTCTAAAACAATAATCTGGGAATTCCATTCATTATTATAGTAAAGGGCATCATAACTTTATGGTAAGCGGGGAAGGGTGGGAGAGAGGTGAGACTGTGGGGGTGGGAGCTAGAGAAAGAAAACTCAGAAAGATCCAGAATCAAACACGGCCTCTGTTGTTTGAATTTGTTGTTCATTTTCAATGGAGTGATAACTGCAACAGCTCAGCCTGAACTGTCTGGCTTAACACTTCCCTTTCTAGGGAACTTGGATGTGTTTCACAGCTTACATCTGGACAACAGGGTACAGGGAAAAAAGCCACAGGGATAGATCACATATTATCTTTGCATACTTAGGACTTGAGTCTGGTATGCACACAGAAAGAACCATATATACACGTAGATACATACAGTTACATATCTACACACGCACATGTTCATGTGTGTATAAATCCAGCTCCACACGGGATTTCTTCTCTTTTTGGTGGTAGGCTCAGTTCACATCTCCTGTCTCTGCAGAGATACAATAAGTTCCCTTCTGGAATTTTGTTCCTTTTCCCTACCCAAGTTGTCTTTTTATACAGTGATCTCTTTTTGTTAATCTTTTTACAAGCAAAGCTACAGGCCTCAAAGGAGGTGATAAGTAACCCATTGGACCTGGAAAATGGTACTTTCTGTCAGAGCAGGGGATAAGTAATAAACTCTTTATCTTATCTTTTAGATCAGCAATAACTTCAGTGAGACCACTTGGTCAATATTGTACATCTCACTGTATGGCCATGTCTCATAAAACTAGTAGTAACAAAATCCATACTTCCCAGTATATGCGACTGGCTATTATGGATGGTAGAAAAGAGCATAGCACAGAGCCTGAGGGGAGAAGCAGCTCCTGAGGGTAAAATAGCAGTACATTGAAACCTCAAAGGAAACTTAAGAAGGGATGGTGTGAGTGTGTGCATGTATGCATTTAAGTCTGAAGCCAGAAAACTATGAGGGCTATGTGGAACATTTCCTGGAGCGTATTACTAATAAACATGGCGGGATTGTCAGCCCTGCAGTGTCCATACCTTCCTTCTGGGCCCCTGCCAGTGCCCCTGCAATCATGGGATAGTGCATCCTAGCCAAAGGGTAGGAGCTTTTCGCTGTATCCTCCTGCGCATATTTTGCTGCTGTCCCAGCTCCATGTTCTCTCCTGCTGAGGACGGACTTTTCAGTATCCTTGTACAGTGCCCTCCAGTTGTTTGGATGTCACAGTGCAGAGGACTAGGGGAACTCCATTTTTGCTGTTCCATTTTGTCCTTATTGCTTCAGGCCGTCAAAGACTAGGAGCAGACACTAACTTAATGATTTGATTTATTCATACACTCATTTAATTTGGGTGAACTAACAGTAAACCACAAATTGTCATATCCCACAGTTTATTAAAATGACATACGTAGAATACAATTGCAAGCAACAACTAATTCCTTTGTTTCCCTGCTCTGTCATGCTTTCATTGTAAAATATTTCTTATTTTTTAACATTGGGGTCATCCCCTTCCCATACACAGAAAATCCCCTCTGCCATCAAAACAGTTTGTATGTTATGGGCCACATCCCAGACCCTTTACAGTCAGCTGGTGTCTCTTCATTTACTTCATTTGGACATAGGTCAGTCCTTCTCTGTATTCAGCACAACTGAAATGCAGCCTTTTCTGAAGCAGGTTGGCAGCAGTGATGCTATAGGCATCATTCCAGTGGAACGTATAGCAGCAGCACCGCAACCTGTAAGGACATACACGACTTGGAGGACAGACAGGACTTCAAACTTTAACACTTCCTTCCAAACTACTCCAAAATTTCCTTAGCATGCATGCATCTCTCTTGGAATCATAAAAGATTTAATTCTGTTGCTCCAGGCAGGACTTTTAAACCTAATACTTGTATAAGTAAACTGTCTCCTCTAGTTTTTCCACATTTACTTACAATGGCACACTGGCAAGCTTCTTGG